ATAAATCTGAGACAGACTAGCAAATTCCACTAAGATATTCATTCTACAGGCAAAGTTTTCTACTACAGATCACTTTCCTGGTCTCTATTAGTTACCATAACTAACAGACCAAATTATTAGCATGTGTACATTTTCTTAAATACTAATTTCATTCATTTCTTTCTACTATTATTCCATCCATCTATCCATCTATTCATCCATCCATCCATCCATCCATCCATCCATCCATCCATCCATAGACCATTCATTCATCTAGTTACCCAGTAGGTCAATATCATATCCATTAAACATGCACTAAATTCTGAATGCCAGATAAGGCACTAAACACCTGAAATTTTAAATAAAAATTCTTGCTTTAACTGCACTATTCACAATAGCCAAAATCTGGAAAAAACCCAAGTGCCTGAGAACAGATGATTGGTTAAAAAAAAACTTTCGTACATCTACACAATGGAGTACTATGTAGCTGTTGGAAAAAATGAAGTCATGAAATTTACATACAAGTGATACTACATGGAAAGTATCATGCTAAGTGAAATGAGTCAGAAAGAGAGGGACAGACATAGAAAGACTGCATTCATCTGGGGAATATAAAGTAATGAAATAGGAGACTAACACCCAAGAATAGCGGAGATAAGTACCAGGAGGTTCACTCCATTGCTTGGAGGCCAGCCGCACGTGCTAGGGGAAAAGGCAGCTCAGATAGAGCAGGGAGCACCAAGTAAAGGGTGTTGGGAGGACCTCCCTGGATGGGAGATGCATGCTGAAAGTAAACTATAGACCGAACATGATTGCCACTCAATACCTCTTTTGAAAACCACAACACCCAAAAGGAGAGAGAGAACAAAAGGGAATACCCTGCCACAGAGGTGGGGTGGGATGGGGGATGGGGGGCATGGGAGGGATACTGGGATCATTGGTGGTGGAGAATGGGAACTGGTAGAGGGATGGGTGCTTGATCATTGTATAACTGAAACCCAAGCACAAAAACTTGTAAGTCCACAACTGTACCTCATGGTGCTTCACTACACTAATTAAAAAAAAGGGAAAAAATTCCTGCTTTAATATAAAAAATACCTAAATGTCCTCAGTGTGCATTCAGGGAAGGAAGTAAATGAGGCTGCCCCAATGAGCTCCAAGGAACTGGGACCTAAAAGGAGAGCCACAGCTCAACATTGATAAACCTAATATTTTAAGATAGGTCATATATGGGGCTGGAACAATAGCACAGCGGGTAGGGCGTTTGCCTTGCAGACGGCTGACCCGGATTCGATTCTTCCACCCCTCTCGGAGAGCCCAGCAAGCTACAGAATATCTTGCCCACACAGCAAAGCCTGGCAAGCTACCTGTGACATATTCGATATGCCAAAAACAATAACAACAAGTCGCACAATTTGTTGTGAGACATTACTGGTGCCTGCTTGAGCAAATCGATGAATAACGGAAGGACAGTGCTACAGTGCTACAGGCCATATATGTGAATTTTAATGTCAATATTTTCTGTTTAATGCTGGTAAAACATTAATCTGTATTTTTCACAAATAGTGTGATTCAAGTAAAACATATCTAGACAACTACACACCTTCAGCAGCTCCCTATGACAATTTTACAAAAATTCTGAGTCTTCAATGCCTAATACTATGATTATAAGGTTTTTAATGAATTTACAACTAAATAATTGGACTTTTAAATGATAGCCTTGATGCATCAGCCATGTAGTGACCAAGTAAATTTGAAACGTGTCAAATGTCTTCATAATCATGAAAACTTGGCACCCACAGGGCAGGGGAGGCTCTGACTCAGGAAAGGGCTTGGTAAAGTTCTGTTATCACCTTCATGGTGACCTTCTATTATTTCTGCACCAGACTATGAGGGTGGGGACCATGTTCCATTCATCATCTTATCAATCACTCCCTGGCATCATTCTCTGCAGTATCTGTGCCTGATGAAAGTTTGCTGAGCTAATTTGAATTTATGTTTTTTAAATTCTGGTTTAAAATTTATAGTGAACTAAAATAGTCCCCATTTAGATAGTTTTATCCTTAAGATCATGCCTACATGACACAGAAATAACTAGCTATTTTGAGCTTCTTATTGGGCAAAAACACAAATCATACTTGAAATGATGCAGAAATAATCTAAGCAGCAGGTGTCTCTTTAACCAAATCATGTTTTTCTTGCATTCTATTTTACTCTAGACCGAAAAGATAAGCCAAAAGGAATAGTAACTCATTTTGAGTGATTTTTGTTTGAAGTTATATCTCAGACTCAGTATGAATACAACTGTTTTAATAAAAGTAAAATATGATTTCTGAAGCTCATCCCCAAAGCTTAGCAATTTATATAGAGAAACATGAATACGTTCTTCTAACTCAAGGAAAATCAAATATATTCTTACATTCTTTAAGTACTAGTAATGAAAATTAACCAACAGCTTAAAAATCATTTCTGAGACTTAAAATTATCTTTTTTAAAAAAGGAGTTTACAATTATTTTTTAAATGTGAAAAAAGTATAAGAAAGGTGGTACAAATAAGCTTAAAAGTGACCATAGGGCTGGAGAGATAGTACAGCAGGTAGGGCGTTTGACTTGCACACAGCCAAATCAGGTTCAATTCCCAGCATCCCATATGGTCCCCTAAGCACCACCAGGAGTAGTTACTGAGAGCAAAACCAGGACTAACCCCTGTGCATCACTGGGTGTGACCCAAAAATCTAAAAAAAATGATCATAATACAACGTGCCTGCAAATTTCAATTTTCACATTTATTATGGGACTTAGCACCCTAAGATCTATAGTGTTAGGTATCATTGTAAAAAGTACCTCCTTAAGAAAATTGATGAAGTGGAGTTCATGCCCAATTTAATCAGGTAATCAGTGGCTGAATAAATAGCAGTACTCCTACATAATAATAATAATAATAATAATATAAGAAAATTTATGAAAACTTGAATGCTAACACATTGTGAAGTGCCCTCCAACTCAATGCAGCTAATTAAAAGCAAAAAATGTTTCTGGACATGAAATACCTGCAAGCATAATTAAAGTCAGAGGACATTCTAACTAGTAGCACACATACAAGATCAATTTCCATCATCATTTTTCCAAAAAGTCAAAACTCTGAAGGGAAAGCAATTTATTTATTTATTTACTTTTTCTTTTTGGGTCACACCTGGCGATGCTCAGGGGTCACTCCTGGCTCATGCACTCAGGAACTGCTCCTGGCGGTGCTCAGGGGACCATATGGGGTGCTGGGAATCGAACCTGTGTTGGTCATGTTGGCTGCGTGCAAGGCAAACGCCCTACCCACTGTGCTATCACTCCAGTCCCGGGAAAGCAATTTTTACAGATCATTCTGCCCCAGTCAACACAGACATCTTATCAAATGTAAGGAGCACTTCTAAGTTCCCTCTCAGACACCTCACAGCATTAGCAATTTGGCTGTTCACAAACTTATCTTCAGAGAGGAAGAAATCAACAATATTGTGATTTCATTGCGATTTCAACAACTGAAAGCCCAGCCACTTAAATTGCTGTCAAATGTTCTTATTACGTAGTTGGTTTCACTCTTTGCACCTGAAAAGCTAAGCAGATTCTTAAGAAGTGGCATTCCTTTTCAGTTTAAATTCCTGAAAATCTTAGAAATTAGCTAGAAGTTTTATCTGAAGTAAGAGAAATGAAGCAATTGGGCTTCCTTAAATTTTTTTGCTCTGGGAAAAAAAGCATAAGAATTAATTTGATTGACTTATTACAAGAAACTTGTTGCCTCTCCTGCTGTAACTTAGGAATGAAAGCTCCTCACCTCTTCAAGAACCTTAAAGTGACCTACGTTGGGGCTAATGAGTCAAACAATAGTGATGACAAGATATTTTGAAATTTGATTTCCAGATTTTTGTTGTGATTAAATCTGACCTTCTGGATGAAAGTGAGACTATGCTGAAGCCACAAATGAAGATAACGTCAAAGGAAGACTAATGAAGTCACAGTTGTCAGCAAATTCACCTGAGGACTGGCTCACTGAAATACACAACTTTGCCTTACGCTACTGATTGCAACTTGGTAAGAACCTGGACCTGAAGGACCAAATCAGCTAAGAACAAATCAGTTAACAGCTGAGAACACTGAGATAAGAAAGAAAATTCTTACCATGTACACATGGATGGGCTGGAGTGATAGCACAATGGGTAGGGCTTTTGCCTTGCACGTGGCCAACCTGGGTTCGATTCCTCCACCCCTCTCGGAGAGCCCAGAAAGCTACTGAGAGTATCTTGTCCCCACGGACAAAGCCTGGCAAGCTACCCGTGACATATTCGATAAGCCAAAAACAGTAACAACAAGTCTCACAATTTGTTGTGAGATGTTACTGGTGCCCACTCGAGCAAATCGATGAACAACGAGAGGACAGTGCTACAGTTCCAAACATGGAAATGCTTACCAAAAGTGCAAGGAAAATAATGGACTCAAGGAGTAGAATAACCAAAGGCAGTCTCTGAGTATCTGCCGCTTTAATTAGCCAAGTGATAAATAATAAGTTTCATATCCTCATTTCAAGGAAACTTCCCAATTTCCCCCCAATGAATGGCTCTATTATATGCCTGAAATTTTTATGTCCTGATTCCAAAAATAAAACTCTGTTCGGGAAAGGCATATGCCTAATCACTGCACTTCCATTATTTATTCTAAAAACATTTACTTAAAATTATTCCAGAGCTTGACAATTTAATGCCATGTTAGCTCAAACCACACCACTTTAACAAAGTTTCTCCACACCCCACTGTTTCTCTTTGCAGCAACCCCTCAACCAGGCGAGACTGCTGTTTTCAGCACTTAAGTCCCTGAACACCAGACAGACAAGGCTTCTGACAGATCCGAGATTAGAAATCTTTTTCTGTTTTTATTCTCTCTCTCTCTCTCTCTCTCTCTCTCTCTCTCTCTCTCTCTCTCTCTCCCTCTCTCCCTCTCCCCCCTCCCCTATCATCCACCTGCACCTGTCACCATACCTGTCTGCAGGACCACGGTTCTCTCTTCTCCATCCAGAGAAACAATCCTGAAATTATAGGTGGTTCCCGCTTGTAGATCCGTGGGGTTATATCCATAGGTATTGTTGTCAATCCTAACAGGGTGGGCCCACGTGGCCCCCGAGGTGTCACTGCTGTAGACGAGGCTAAAGTTACAGGATGAGCCCCAAGTCCTCCACTGAAGAAACGCGGACTGGTTGGAGACCCTGGACTCAGTCAGGGTGAAGTTACATCTCAGTGGCTCCCCCAGAACAGTCTGCAAAGGAACCAGAGACAACAGCTGAAGTGTGCGCGTGTGCACCGGCCAGGGTCAAGTTCACAGCCATCCTTGGTTCTCCCACCCCTGCCCCAGCCTCAGTGGCCCTTTGGCCCTGCAGATGGTGGGGAGGGAAATCTGCGGGGAGAAGCGGATAACATCCTCCTTCGCGGTAGTGTCCTACACGCGCGCGCTCACACACACACACACACACACACACACACACACACACACGGGGACCATGAAGACAGAAAGTCGCTTTATGCCTAGGGGGTTAGAATGAGCTGACAAGTGTGGCTGGAAGTTCAGGCAGACAGACAGACAGACAGACACAACACACACACACGACTATGAGGAACAGAAAGTCGCTTTATGCCTAGGGCGTTAGAATGAGCTGGCAAGTGTGGCTGGAAGCTCAGACAGACAGACAGACAGACAGGCGCGCGCGCGCGCGCGCACACACACACACACACACACACACACACACACACACACACACACCAACCAGGGCACCCATGAGAATAGAAAGTCTCTTTGTGCCTAGGGGGTTCCGATGAGTTGACAAGTGCAGCTGGGTGCGCAGAAGAGCATCCCCGAGGACGGGGATGAGAAACGCTCCTGGCTCCTTCTTCCCACGGCCGAGGAAGCAGCCCCGCGCCGCCTGGCTCTCCGGTAGCGGCCGGGAGCGGGGGGCGGCGGGCCGGCGGGCGCCACTCACCTGCAGCCAGCTCAGCGCGATCCAGCAGGCGGGCGCGGCTCCCCGGCTCCGCATCGCGCCGCCGCCAGCGTCCCCGCGGGGCGGCCCGGGCGCGGGCGGCCGGGGGGCACTTGTTGCGCGCGGCGCGTCCCGGGCGGCGGGCGAGGCGCGGGCGCGGCCGCGGCGGCCGCTGCTGCTGCTGCTGCTGCTGGTGCTGGAGCTGCCGCTGCTGCTTGTGCCGAGCCGGGCGCGCGGCGGACGCGGGAGGCGGCGGGGGCCGGCGGCGCGCCGCCCTTCCCACGCTGCCATCCTGACCCGCGCCGCCTCGCCCCGGGCCCCGGCCGCGGACTTCCGCAATCAAAAGGCAATTTCCTCGTCTCCCGGCCGAGGAACAATGCTCGGCCGAGGGAGGGAGCCCCGAGGAGCCCACGCCTGGGGCTGCCAAGGGGGCGCGGGGCGGGCCGCCTCCCGGCCTGGGGGGTCCCGTCGGGCTCGGCCCGCGCCGCCTGCCCCTCCCTCTCTTCCTCCACTTTCACTCCCCCCCACCCCCACTCCGAGAGCCTCAGTTTGGCCACGATAAGTACTTGCTCCCTCTCACTTGCCAGCGCCCCCCTCCCCCCGCCGTCGCCCCTTCTTCCCTCCACACCCAGCGTCCCCTCCCTCCCTATCTTCCTTCCTATCTTCCTCATCTGCTTTCTCCCAGGGCCGCTTTTCCCAGGGTTCAACTTGACCACTGCACATTTCCCTAGGTCGCCTCTAAGGCTTTTTCTGAACTCTTTTATTCGCGTTTTTGCCCTTCTCACCTCTCAGCATTCATTTGTGCCAAACGCGCACCCCTCTGCCGCCAGCCAGAGAAAAAGATCCCCCCAACCCACCCCCACCCCTCCCAGGGACTTGTCCTCTGTCGGTGTGACCTCGATTCCCCCTCCCGCCAACCCCCACAACTATTCACTCTCCTCTTTTCCTGGTGTATGGACCATCTCCTCCCAGAATCTTATGCAAATGGTGCTAACCAAGAACAAATCATCACCAGCCACCGTGCCAGCTCCAGTGTAACGGTTCCTTCGTTACCAGCTAGGAACCAGTACTGCCATCCCTGACTGTGCAAACGTTAGAAAAGTCCGATAAACTCGCTGATTGTGGAAAATACTCCTGAAGGCTCAGTTCTTGCACTTAGCTCAGTTTTTAACACTAACTTTCTGCCATTTACCAACGCCTCAGTACCTGGATGGTCATGTAATGGGTTGTCAAGGAGCTCCCACTAACAACAAAAACAAAATGTAACTCTGTCCACAGGTGTTAATATCAAAATATTGTCACAACGTATAATGTTCATTCTTCTTTGAATGCCAGTTCCTGAGAACGTCCAAAAGTGGTAAAATTCTACACTGTCATTTTGTTATAGCAAAATGTTTATTAAAGGGTGGCATAGTTCCTATATTTCCAAACAGAAAGACAAAGTTATATCAGTGGTGATTATATTGACTATCTGCTTTGGGAAGAAAACCCATGGGGAAAGGGGAGTGACAATTTTTTCAATTATCTTTTAGAAAAAATATAGTTTGAAGCTTTTAATTAAAAAAAAAAGGAACTTCTCCCACTATAGAGAAGCTATGGACATCTAATCCGCAACCAGACAAGACATTTCATTTTTTTTTCTTATCAAACACTCAAAGAAGGACAAACTTCAAACCTCTGTGTCTTGCTGGAAAACTAGATCTCTTTTGCTCTTCCCAGCTTACTTACTAAAGAGCTTCTACCTTCTGGATTCTGCCCTCAAGTCTAATGACTTTTCAAAACAGCTTTTCCCTTTAGTTAAGACAAGTTTGCAGGTGGCTTCTGCTACCATAGGACCCTTTTATTCAGTTTTATTCCTTTTCATCATTGACTTTTGTTATGGCAGTTTTTGACGTACGCCATTATCTCAAGAATGAGGTCCATTATCACAAGAGTGAGGTGATATCTCATTTTGGTCTTACTCTGCATTTCTTTATGATTGGCAATGAGCATTTGGAAATAGCAATTAGGAAAAGGAGTGATTTTAACTCACTATTGTCAACTCTTTGTGTAAAAGACTGGAACAGTACTGTAAAAATTTCCCAGAACTTTTATGAGTAATAAATAAGATAACACATGTTAAGCACTTTTTGCAAACTCAAATGTGCTGCCCAAGTGTCAACTTACTTTGTAATAGATTGCATAGTCACATTTTTGTCTTTTGTATTAATCACACACATAGGTCATGCTTTCCTAACTTCCCAGCCCATTATTTTATTTGTAGTTCTCATTGCAGTTTATAAACTTCTCTCATAAATTTCCCCTCAGATTTGATTTCTTCCCACTCAAGTATAGGTAAAGGTAAAGGTAAAGGCCCTCCTGTTGATCCTCGATTTGCTCGAGCGGGCCCAGTAACGTCTCCATTGGAGACTTTGTTGTTACTGTGTCTGGCATATCGAATACTCTCGGTAGCTTGCCGGGCTCTCCGAGAGGGGCGGAGGAATCGAACTCGGGTCGGCCATGTTGGCCGCTTGTAAGGCGAACGCCCTACCCGCTGTGCTATCGCTCCAGCCCCTCAAGTATAACTATATACATATATATATAAGTATATACATATATATAAGTATATATGTATATACTTATATATATGCTTATACTTACTTATATACTTATATACTTACTTATATACTTACTTACTTATATACTTATATACTTACTTACTTACTTACTTATATACTTATATACTTACTTATATCTTATATACTTATACTTATATACTTATACTTATATATAAGTATATATTTATATATATAAGTATATACTCAAGTATAACAAATACCAAATACCCTTCTACTCTTGGTTTAAATTTTTTTGCATCATTTATTTGATAATCAATCAATCAATCAATCAAGTTCTGTCTTATGTAAGGCTGAAGAAATCCTACAGCAGTGTAAGGTTCTTGCTTTGCAGAGGGCAGACCCAGGTTTAATCCTCTGCACTGTACATGGTCCCTTGAGCACTTCTAGAAATGACCCCTGAGCAGAGAGCCAGGAATAAGCCCTGAGCACCACTGGGTATGGAACAACCCATTTCCCACCAAATCAACAAGTTCTTCCTTGTGATTGCCCTTCTCCTTTGTCTTTTTTAAATAAAAATACTCCTCACCTATTGCCCTCCTTCTACTTTATTTCCTTCCCCCCACCTTCTTCTCAAATTGCTTCCTTTATTAAGTCCACTGCTATGATTTTTGTCTCATGTATTCTCATACATATAACCTTACATGCATGAAGATGAAATTGCATAAAACTTGTGTTTTTTTCCTTTGACTTATTTTGATTTATATAATCTCTCTGCATTCGATCTACTTGGTTGTGAATGGCAAAATTTCATTTTTTAATAGGTGAACACTATTGCATTATATAAATATATCACATCTTTTCCCAATCATCTATTGATTAGCGCTTAGGTTCCTTCCATACTTTAGCTATTGAAACATCCTTTAATAGACAATGGATAAATACAAATTTCTGTGGTAAGTGTATTTATCAAACAGACACCCAAAGAAGAATTGCTGAATCATATATTATGAGCAAGGAGGGATTTTTTTTGTTTGTTTTTTTGGGGGGAGGGTCTTACCCAGCAATGCTCAGGGGTTACTCCTGGCTCTGCACTCAGGCATCACTCCTGGTGGTGCTTGGGAACCATATGGGATGCCCCTGCTCAAATCTAGGTCAGCTATGTGTAAGGCAAACAAACACCCTACCCACTATACTATCACTCCAGCCCCAAGGAGGAAAATTTTAAATGCAGACTTTCCTAATTATATTTTGCTTTAAAAAAAACACATATTAGTGGGAGAAATTAGAGAGAACTGTATAGGATTTAAAGCAGGAGGGGAGTGGGAAAAGTGGCCAGATACAATCTTTCCTATGAGGCATTTATTTGAAGCTACCGCACAAAGTATAAATAAATCAATTCAAATTTCCTTTGTTCTCAACTTTGTTTGGAATTCCTCAGCTTCTTTGAAACCTATTTATCCTGCATAATGACACTGCATTTACTTTAGAAGTTACTGCCTTCCAGGAATTTGGAATCAGCCACTTTGTAAGTTCAGGGACCAACCTCTTCCCTTTGCCACCAGGAAACCTTTCCCAGAGTCGGGGGTGAGGAGACTTAACTAGACACATGTGGACAGAGAGCTGCCTTTCAAACACATTATCATAGAAACTGATGATTATTATCGTTTACTTAACCATCAAGCGTTAATTTGGAACTTGTCTTATTATGAACCTAGAGGTTGAATGAT